ACCGACACTTCTTTGCCGCCGTTCTACATCCTCGTGTACGTCGACGACTTGGTCTTTGCCACTCCTGACACTGCTAGACTCGCCCACATGAAGTCCGAGCTGCAGAAGAGACACACGTGCACTGACCTGGGAGAACTGCGCAGCTACCTTGGCTTGCAGATCACTCGGGATAGAGCACGCCGCACCATTACCCCGACTCAGTCACACATGGTGCAGCAGGTCCTTCAGCGCTTCGGCTTCACGTACTCCTCCCCACAGGCCACTCCTCTGCCTACTCGCCACTCGCTCTCAGCTCTGCCTTCGGATGAGTCCGTAGAGTCGAGTGGCCCGTACCCAGAGCTTGTTGGCTGCCTCATGTACCTGATGACATGCACACGACCTGACCTTGCATACCCTCTTAGCATTCTCGCACGCTATGTTGCTCCTGGGAGACACAGGCCGGAGCACATGGCTACAGCAAAGAGGGTGGTGCGCTACTTGTGCAGTACGTCGGGCATGGGGCTTGTTCTTGGAGGGCAGAGTCCACTGGTCCTTACTGGGCACGCGGACGCTTCTTGGGCTGACGACCAGGCTACGCAGCGGTCGTCACAGGGTTACACCTTCAGCCTTGGTTCCGGCTCTGTTTCGTGGCGGGCTACTCGCTCGTCTTTTAGTCTCGGCTCCAGTTGTGAGGCTGAGATCTACGCAGGAGACATGGCTGCACAGGAGCTTCGCTGGCTCACCTACCTACTGACTGACCTCGGAGAGCCGCCTCGTTCTCCTCCAGTGCTGTATGTAGACAACAAGGCCATGCTGGCCTTGTGTTGGGAGCAGCGACTGGAGCACAGAACGAAGCACATTGCTCTCCGCTACTTTCTTGCTCGTGAGCTGCAGCAGTGTGGTCAGCTGCGTCTTGCGTACGTGGCCTCTGAGGCCAACACTGATGATATCTTCACCAAGGCGCTCACGCCTTGTGACCATCAGCGCTTCTGTACTCAGCTGGGCCTTGTGCCTGCATTGCCTCACTTGCTCACCTCTTGACCTTGCTTGTACTGTTACATGTATATATTCACCTGCTCTTGCTTGTCTAGCCTTTTTATATATATGTTTTCCTGCATGTGAACTGGCCTTGTGGCCTTAAACTTGTGCTCGGAATGTGTGGTGACTTTGTGATCCACCCTGAGCTTGCTTTGCTTTGCTTTGCTTAACTGGTCTTGTGACCCCTTGTTCTCCCCCATTTTGCCTATGGGGGTGTGTCAGAACATTATAGCTTATGCATATTGTGTAGGCTATAGTGGGATAGCCCATAAGGGGTACAACCCAATTAGGGTTAGTACTTGTACCCAATTCATTCATAGTTCATTCATTCCTTGTTTCTTCTCATGGTTGTCCACATGCTGAACAGTCGGCTTCCTTGGGTCGAGGAGACGGAACTCTGCAAGGAGGAAGCGCAAATGGCGAGCCTCCTCACCGGCTTCAGTCGCCGCGACGTACTCTGATTTGGTCAACGAGAGCGTCGCGCACTTGATGCGCTGGCTCGCCCAGGAGACTGCGGCTCCTCCGAAGACGAAAACGTAGCCGCCCGTGCTCGTCCGATTCTGCTTATCGCCAGCGACGTCGGCATCTGCATAGCTGACTAGACACAGCGACTCTGGTCCGCCGCCGAACTCCAGAGCGGCGTCACGAGTTTCAGCGAGGTAGTGCAGACAACGATCGACCTCACACCAGTGGTTGTCACTCCGCACTGTTAGGCCCGATCCGAGCTTGCTGCAAGCGAAGGCAATGTCGGGCCTTGTCGTGGTGGCCGCGAACTGCAGCGAGCCGACCTTCTGCCGATACTCTGCTTCCTCGCGTGACTGAAACTCCTTGTCGTCGAACACCATCTCTGCGTAGGCGTCGACGGAGACCGGCGTCTTCGGCACTCGCCCGGACTGCTCCTCGTCGCCGACGCAACTTGTCGACGTAGACTTGCTGGTGAAGCTACAATTTCCTTGCAGGACGGTTGCGCACGATTTCCAGCCCGAGATACTTCTCGACCGGGCTGATTTCGCGAAGCTCGAAGGCGGCCTCCAGCAGCTCCTTCAGCTCCTTCACCATCGCAGGGCTGCTACTTGCAGCGAGCAGATCGTCGTTGTAGACGAGCACCCAGCATGCCACTCCGTCGTCGCCGACCTTGAAGTACAGCGCCTCATCGACCTGGCTCTTCTGCCACTTGGCGCCAGTCAGCACCGCATCGAGCGCCGAGTACCACAGCAGCGGACTCTGCGTCAGGCCGTACAAGCTCTTGAGCAGCTTGCAGACTCGGCTAGTTCCGTCGTTGAAGTAGTCGGGCTGGTACATGTAGAGGACACGATCCAGCTTGCTCTGCAGAAACGCATTCTTGATGTCGAGTTGCATCAGATGCAGGTTGATCACCGCGACGATGCTAAGAAAGATCCGCAGAGTTACGTAGCTCCCCACCGGCGTGTACGTCTCGTCATAATCTGCGCCGTAAACCTGCGTGAATCCTTTCACGACCAAGCGGGCCTTCTCGCGGGCGACCGTGTCGTCGACGTGGTACTTCGTCGTGAGCACCCAGCGGTTCTTCATGATGTTGACACCGCGCGGACGCTCGACCAACTCCCACGTCCCATTGGAGATGAGACTTTTGATCTCTTCGTCCATGGCAGCTTTTACCGCCGTGCCTTTCCAGCTCGCCAACGCTTCCTCCACCGTCATGTTGGCGATGTCCCAGCGATGCTCTGGATCGGCGTGCATGTCGGGGTCGAGCTCGGGCAGATCAACGTCATCCTCTGCGTCGTCGAGCAGAGTGCTGTAAGCCTTCGGCGGCAGACAAGCATAGAAGCTCAGCTTCTCCAGCGGCTTGCCGATGTTGGAGCGGGCAGACCGTCGCGGCTGCGCCTTTTCGACCGTGACCTCTACTACGTCGCTGTCGTCGGACAGCTCCCCTTCACCGCCGCCAGCTGCACCGACGACTTCTACAACGTCGCTCGACGAGTCATCGTCGAACTGCTCCTCTGTCGGCAGCTCCTCTACCGACTGCTCCCCTAGGATCGGCTTCTCTGCCAACCGCTCCCCTGAAGCTGGCGCCTCTGCCAGCGGCATCTCTGCAGGTGGCGCCTCTACCGGTGGCTTCTCTGCAGTCTTCTTTGACGCAGACAGCTCCCCTGTCATCTGCCTCTTCCCGTCGCTGACTTTCTCGGCGTCACGTCGGCCACCAGCGATGCAACCGGTCGGCGCTGCACACGACGCACCAAGTCTCCCCTCATCGCCGGCGGCTGACGAGGGCACAACAGGAGGAGGGAGTGGGACCTCCTCTACATTCTCGTCATCAAGCTCGTCGACGACGGCGAGCAGAGGAGGCATCTCCGAAGAGGAATTCGACGGCGGGGCAGACGACGTCTTCGTCGACGCTGGCCCGTACTTTGCCTTCCACTTCTCCAGCGACAGGTTCTCGTAGAAGATCGCTCCGACTGTCATGATGATTTTGTTGACCGGCAAGTCAAGCACTTCCTAGCCCTTGCTCTCTGCTGATACGCCGAGGTGAAGTCCCCAACGGGCCTTGGGCGCCAACTTCCCGCCGCGCTGCTGCTCGGGGACCATGAACTGCACCATGCAGCCCAACACGCGCACCAGCGTCAAATCCGGCTTCTTCCCGAACAATAGCCCGTGCGGCGTCGTCCCCTTTGGCAGAGAAGCCTGCTCGAGGCAGTTGCGCACCCAGACGGCTTGGCGTAGAGTGAGGTGCCACCAGTGATGCTTCACGCCCATGTGCAGAAGCATCGTACGCACGGCCTCGACCACCGTGCGCATCTCCCGCTCATCCATCCCGTTCTGCTGCGGAGTGTAGGGGCACGTCAGATTGTGGAGGATTCCCTTGTCCTCGACGAGGTCGGTGAAGGCGCGACCGAGGAACTCCCCTCCGCGGTCGGAACGCAACTTCTTCACCGTCTTCGACGACTGCCGCTCCACCTCCTTCAGCCACTTGTCGAAGACGACCAGCACGTCGCTCTTCTTTGCAACCGGCCGAACCCACACATAGCGAGTTTTTCTGTCCTTCAGCAGAAGTGTCCGACATATATGATCTAGCCTGTGTAGGCTGTAGCGGGTTAGATACTAAAGGGTACACAATTCTAGGGTTTCATATTTGTATCACACTCATTCCTTAGTTAATCATTCCTCTTGATTCTCACATGGTATAGAGCAGGTTCCCTAGTGGAAACGTTTCCTAGGGCCCACCACTGAAAATAGATTATTTTTTTTCCTGCCCGGAGCGCGCTTCGCCCCTGCCCGAGTCGCGCCCCGTGTGCCTGCCCCCCCGTCGCGTCCCCTGCCCTTATCGGCCCGTCGCGCCCTCTTACGGCCCCTCGCGGCCCCCTCTCACGGCCCTTCGCGGCCCCTTCGCGGCTCCCTTACGGCCCCTGCGCCGCCCTTCGCGGCCCCTCTCACGGCCCTTTGCGGCCCCTCGCGGAACCTTCACGCCCTCGTCGCCGCCCTTCGCGGCCCCTTCTCGGCCCCGCCGCCGTCCTTCACGGCCCCTTCTCCGCTCCTCCGCGGCCCCTTCTCGGTTCCTTCACGGCCCTGCCGACCAGTCGTCGGCGCCCCAGCAACAGCACCCGTCGCGCCGTCACAGCCGCCGCCTCCACTGCCGGGGCCGCCGCCGCCGCGGCTGCTGACACCAGGAGCCGCCGCCGCCGGTGCAGTGACAGTAGCAGCAGCCGCCGCCGCCGACAACAGCGGCCGCCGTTGCCGCTGACAACAGCAGCAGCCGCCGCCGCCGCCGCCGCTACTTGAGCCGCAGCCGCCACCGCCACTGCCCGGAGCAGCAACGGCCGCCGCCGCCGCTACCGGGGCCGCAGCAGCCGTCGCCGCCAACAGCGGGAGCCGCTGCCGCAGTCACGGCCCTGTCCCTGCAGGCGCGCCTCGGCCCTGCCCCTCCACTTGCGGCACTCTACCCTACCGCCCTGGTAAGAGCAGCGCCCCTGCTACTCCGCTGCCCCTAGCCTGCAGCCACTGCTGTCATGGCTACCCCTAGCGTTCTCGTCTTTGATGCTGAGGGTTGGGCTGTTGACTTTGAGGTCTGGGTCGATGATCTGCAGCTTTTCCTACAGTGCGATAGGAAAGACGGTCTCTCACAGTTCGATCTCACGTCTGGCGCCTCTACTGCCCCTGCTGTCGATGCTGACAGCACTGTTCGCTCACAGTGGGCCACACGCGATGCTGCTGCCCGTCTTGCTCCGCGTAGTCACTTGCCGTCCTCTGAGCGCGCGCACTTCAGTCAGTACAAGAGTGCTAGGACCTTGTACGACGCTGTAGTCGCACGCTACTCTTCCCCTGCCACAGCTGCCCTTAGCCGCCTCATGCTGCCGTACCTGTTCCCTGACCTCGCCGGCTTTGCCACAGTCAGTGACCTCATTACGCACCTTCGCACTAGTGACACCTGCTACCACGCTGCGCTTCCTGCTGAGTTCTGCGCCAAGAACCCCCCCCCCATGTACGTCACCCTCTACTACATAGTCACTCGGCTCCCTGACTCCCTTCACTCGGTCAGGGACCACGTCCTCTCTGTTTGCCCCACCACACTCACCGTTGACCTCCTCGAGGAGCGCCTCCAAGTAGCTGAGAAGAGTATAGTCGCTGTAGGAGCCTCTCGTGGTGACCCTCGTGCCCCCTTCTTTGAGGGGTGCTCCCCCTCCCCCCTTTTGGCCTCTGTTGCCTCTGCTGCTGCCGTCGAGTTTGTTGGCTTCGAGTCGGTAGGCGCTGCGTCTGCCCCTAGCGGGAGACGCCGCACCGGCAAGGGCAAAGGGGGCAAGGGCGGTGGAGGGGCTGGCGGGGGCGGTGGAGGTGGCGGTGGAGGCGGCAGAGAGAGTGGGGGTGGCAGTGGGAGTAGTGGCGGGGGTGGGGGCTTCGGTGGCGGCGGTGGAGGCGGAGGCGGCGGCGGCGGTGGCGGTGGGAGCGGAGGAGGAGGCGGAGGCGGCGGTGGCGGAGGTGGCGGCGGCGGAGGTGGAGCTGGTTGGGGTGGCTCTGCGCAGCGGGGCGGCTCCGGTGGTGGTCAGCGCCAGCAGCAGCAGCACACTCGTGAGACCCCGCCCCCCCAGCAGCTTCGTGAGTGGTACGCTGCGCGTCAGCGGGGTGGGGGTGCTGGCCCTTGTGCCTACGTCCTGCGTACCGGCGACTGCATTTGTGAGCCGTGCGGTGGCCCGCACACCACCCAGCGCTGCTTCGGCCGCCTGACGGACGCTTGGCGTCTCCAGTTCCCTGACGCCACTGAGATCCCCCTGTTATGTGATGCTATCATTTGCATTCACGTCTGTCTGCCTCCCATCATGTGTTCGTGCGTTGCATGTGTGAAATGAGCGTGCGCAAGAATTTGTGTTTTCTGTGGTTTGGATTTTCTGAGTGTGTGTGAATGTTATTTGGCTTGAGCAGATATCTGAAGTGACTCCACTGCTCAAGAGCTTTCCGCCGAACCAAGAATCACTTCAATCGGAGCACGAACAAGAAAGTTACGAACGTTGGAGTTCGTATGCTTTTGATATTTGGTTGTGGTGACCATGGAGAGTTGTGGGGTTGACTCAATATGGGGTACAGACTTTTGGGGGTTGGGAAACTCGTCACTACTACTGTAGTTGCTGCCAATTGGTTGGGAGAAACCAAACCAGGTTGGCAAGTGTGGTCAAGTTGGGTTGAGGTGGATTGTGGAGGTTGGGATAGTGACAAAGGTCAAAGTTGGGTTGCCTATGGGGAAGGGAATTGTGTGGCATGGAGTTTTCTTTGGTTGAGGACTCCTTGGGACCTTCCCTCTCGTCCTCCTCTTTCCTCCTACCTGGTTTAGTGCTACTCTAACTCTCTTGTCTGCAACTCTTGTGAACTTGTGAAACTATTGTGAGTGAATTTAATTTCTATGTGGCAGCATACCCCCTGGTGCGCCGTAAAGCATAACTCGAGATTTACTCCACCTTTCGATACGATTCAAATTGGGAATGATAGCGACAAACAAGGGCTATAACAAACTCGAGTTTGAGACGATTCTAACAGTGCACTTTCCGTCGACAACGTTTCTTGTGAAGTCGCGGTTTCTGTCCAGAATTTCAAGCCAACGATTTTGAGAAATTTAGGCTCCTAATCTTCACAGACTCGATCCTTAATCTCTAACAAGTGGTATCAGAGCCAGGTTAAGGACTTTGTGGAGAGTCTACTGAAGTGTGAAAACTCTCCTAGACCCACCATGGCCTGTGGGCGTGCCTAAGTGGAGTTCTGGAGGTTGAATGTGACTTCCGCTAAGGGGAAACTCTGCCGAAATTTCGTTGGCGCCGACAGTTGTGAAGATTGTGTGGATCTACATATTGACCAGCAAAAGGGGGAGCTGAAACCTCTGATTGGGAGAAGAGGAGATGAGTCAAGGGAGTGGAGAAGCAGCTGAGAAGAAGAGTGAGCCGCCACCATCCAAGATTGAGGCATTGGATGGCTCCAACTATGAGGAATGGAGTGGGCGGATGAGGAGCGCCTTCAAGCGCTACAAGCTGCTAAAATTGGCTATGGGAGAAGAGAAGATGCCGGAGGAAGGAGATGCCCGTGATCGGTGGATTGAGCGGAGCGCGGTGCTGTACGACTTGATTCTACAGTCGGTCAACAACGACATGTTCCAGCATATCAAGGATTTGGTGGAGCTCGATGACTCGGGACCGAAGGCGTGGAAGCTGCTACGCGACGTGGTTCAATCCAACACGCTGCCGATGGTGATCGTATTGGAGAAGGAGTTGGCTGCCCTCTCCATGCGGCCGGGAGATGATGTGAAGCCGGTCCTTGACAACATCAAGGACACCTATGCGAGGATGGCAGCGGCGGGCAGCGAAGTGTCGCAGATGCAACAATGCACCAAGATCATCTCGGTGCTCGACAACTCGTGGGACAACCTCATCCCCACCCTCAACGTTCAGCAGGACAAATGGACGCCTGAGTGGCTACGGCAGCAGATCCTGCAGGAGGACTTCCGCAGGCGCCACACTGGAGGTGGTGCTGCCAACAAAACTGCTGAGGGGTATGGAGCTGCAGGAGGCAGCAGAGGGAGAGGGGGAGGGAGAGGCCGAGGCCGTGGGAGAGGCTTTGGCAGAGGGAGAGGCGGAGGTGACTACAATGAGGGGCATAGGAGCTCTGGTGGCAGGGGGAGTACCCGAATGGAGGGTGCGTGCTGGTACTGCAAGAAGGCTGGACACCCATGGTTTAAGTGTTTCAGCCGGCCTGAAGGATGGGCGCCTCCAGGCATGAAGCCGCCAAGTGGTGAACGTGCACGAGGTGGTGATGTGCAAGGTTCAGGTGCACAAGGTGATGGTGCACAAGGTAAAGCCGACACTGGGATGTTCCTCATGGTTGAGGACGTGCAAGGGAGTGGGGGTGATGTGGGTTCAGTTGGGAAGGTTGTGATGCACCCCCTCACTCACTGGGTGATCGATTCAGGTTGCACGAGTCACATGACTCCACGGGCAGATTTGCTTGATGAGGTGAAGCCCCCTGGGAAGATAAAGTTTGTGGCTGCCGCTTCAGGTGCCTTGCTCCCTGTGATTGGTGTTGGGAATGCCAAGGTTATAGGAGCTAATGGGGGGCTTGTGGGGCTGGGAAATGTGCTGTTGGTTGAAGGTTTATCCGCTAACCTCCTCTCTGTGCGCCGGCTGCAGAAAAGCAAGGCCAAAGTTACGTTCGGCCCAACCAGCTGCCGTGCAAAGCTTGGGAAGTTGCTGCTGTGGAATTTGGAGGAGAAGGGCAGCTGCATCAAGGACTTGTGGCAGCTGCCCATCATCCCTTGGAAGGGGAAACCACCAGCAACGGCAAAGGCAGCGGCAGCGGCTAAAGCAACTGCGGGAGGAGAGGAGACTGCACCAACTGCAGGGGCCCTGGATGCAATCAAGAAGGTGCAGCAGCCACAACAGCCACATGGTGAGGTGCTTGCTGGTGTGGATGCGACAGCTGCATGGGCAAAGGCTTCATCTGGGAGTGGTGAGGCTGATTGGGAGACGTGGCATGAGAGGCGGTGCCATGTGAACATTCCTATGCTGCAGAAGTTGGTAAAGGATGGGTGCTTGAAGGGGCTGGAGGTGAAGGGGGGAGCAAAGGAGATTGGGGGCTGCCCTACCTGCCTTAAGACCAAATTCACGAAGTTTCCCTTCAGCAGCAGCACAGGACCAGCAAAGGCACCACTTGCACTAGTGCACATGGATGTGGTGGGCCCCACAAGGGCCCTTTCTCTCTCGGGCAGCCGCTACTTCTTGACAATTGTGGACGACCACACGCGTGCGGTGTGGGTGTACCCTCTCAAGACTAAGGGGGAGGTGGCAGCGGCTGTTCTTAAGGAGTGGATGCCGAGAGCACAAAGGGAGAGCGGACACAAGGTGAAGGTGATCCGCACTGACAACGGAGGAGAGTTCATCCGCGCTGATTTTGAGAAGGAGCTGAAGCGGAAGGGGATCCACCATCAGCTCACAGTGCCTTACAACCCTCAGCAGAATGGCGTAGCTGAGCGGTTCAACCGGACCCTGCAGAAAGGTGCTCGCACTCTCCTTGGGCGTGCAGGGCTGCCGGATCCGTTTTGGGTGACAGCACTGCGGCAGGTCGCTGTTGTGAAGAACCGGGTGCTGGCGACAGTGGGGGACAAGCAATGGGTCCCCTACACCAAGTGGTATGGGAGTGCACAAGCAGTCAACATGCTGAGAGCCTACGGCTGCATGGTGGTGTTTCATGTGCCTAAGGAGAAGAGGGGAAAACTGGAAGCTTCTGTGAGATGGGGTGTGCACTTGGGGCTTGCTAAGGATCACAAGGGCTGGCTGATTTGGGACTTGACCACCCAGCAGCTGACTATGTCGAGGGATGTGAAGTTCCTTGAGTCCTTGTACTACAAGGAGTGGAAGCAGCAGCAGCAAGGTGCTCCACAAGGTGCCGCGCGTCCGGCTGACCGTCCCCGGAGGGAAGTGCGCCCTCCTAACCGGCTGACCTATCCGAGCTTTGGCAAGCCAAAGGTGGTACGGGCTGGGAGTGTGGCTGAGCAGTGTGATGAGGATGAGATAGCACACTGCTACTGGGCAGCCGTCCCTGAGCCCAAGACGTTAGCCGAGGCATTGAGCGGGCCCGACGCTGAGAAGTGGAAGCAGAGTGTGAAGGAGGAGTATGACTCTCTGCTGGAGAATGAGACGTGGGAGCTGTGTGAGCTGCCACCTGGGAAGAAGGCCATTTCTTCTAAGCTGATCTTCAGGCATAAGTACGGACCCGATGGGGAGCTGACCCGCTACAAGTCAAGGCTTGTGGCTAAGGGGCTCCAACAGACAAAGGGGAAGGATTTTGATGATATCTTTGCTCCTGTAGGGAAAGGCACTACACTGAGGACGATGTTGGCAATGGCTGCAAACCATGGCTGGAAGATCAAGCAGATGGACATAATCACTGCATTCCTCAATGGAATCATTCTGGAGGAGCTGTACATGCTGCAGCGTGAGGGGTTGGATGATGGGAGCGGCAGGGTGTGCAGGCTCAAGAAGGCCATCTATGGCCTGAAGCAGGCTCCTCGCGCATGGTACCACAAGCTGGAGGAGACACTGCTGGCCGGGGGGTTCAAGAAGAGCGAGTGTGATCACAGCCTGTTCCTGCTGCAAGAGAAGGAGCAGTTCCTCATGCTCCTGGTGTACGTGGACGACATCGTGCTCTTCTCTGAGTCGTCTGCAATGATTGAACGTGTGGAGGAGATGCTGGAAATGCAGTTCAAGTGCTCCAAGATGGGAGATGTGAAGTACTACCTTGGGATGCATGTGGAGAGGGACCTTGACAAGGGAGTGTTGAGGTTGCACCAGAGAAAGTATTGTGAGGGGCTGGCTAAGAAGTATGGGCTGCAAGATGGAGGAAAGCCAGCCACCCCACTGCCTTCGGGGTTCACTGTGGAGCCCTGTGCTGATGAGGAGGTGGTGGGTGAGAGTGACAGGAAACTTTTTCATTCCATGGTTGGGGCACTCAACTATGCGGCTAACCACACACGGCCTGACATTGCCTTTGCAACATCTAGGCTTTCCAGTGTGGTTTCACGCCCCAGTCATGAGCAGCTGGAAGCGGCCAAGAGGTTGGTCCGCTATGTGAGCGCTATAGCGTCTGTGGGTCTGGAGTACAGTGCTGTGAGGCAAAGGCTGCAGAGGGGTGCAGCTGATTTGAGCAAGGGGGAGATGCGCCTGACTTGCTACACCGACGCTAGCTTCAAC